TCATTTAAACAAAGTCTATTATTATTCAAGAACAAAGGCTACTTTTTGATATTTAACACTAGTGTTAATAGGGATAATAGAAGTGTGCTAGTTTTGGGACATCTGGTACATTAAAAGGTAGGCCTCCGGATTTTGTGAAATATCAATTTCGAAAGCTTTTAAAAAATGATGCTTTCAGGATGCTCAATAACTCGAAACTCATATTTTCTGGCTTAGAAACACTATTTAATTATCTTGAGCAAATGAGTTTTACATATCTTTTCTAGTGACAAGATGTTCCCACTTTCCACCCATAGAGTGTGGCCTAGAAGACATTCATTTTATAACCTAACCGGGAACAACCATACTTCATGCAGCTTTCAAGTTTAAGCACAATAAAGGCAGAAAGTGTCTCTGTGATTATAAAAAACAACAACAACAAAAAAACCAACACAACAAAACTCACCCTAAGCACCCATATAGATCAGCAATTACTAAAGGAAAAGCTCATTGGGTTTCAACCCAGAAAATGTTCAACACAATGAACAAAACACAAGAATCCTGTTACATTATTAGAGGACCATTTTAATTAACAATGACAGCCATACTATCTTGAGAAAATACACCTGACAAAAAGCATTTTTCCTTGCAAATAAAGATGTGGCCCCAAATACAGGTGCTGGGCAATTATTCTATTTCAAGCAAAGGTGAGACACCTTTTAAAAAGAATAGCTAAAATTTCTTCATGTATGTACATGAAAATGCCAAACTGATACAAAGGGGACTAGAAAAAATGTAAGTCTCTGGATTAATAACTAGGGTGAATTACTTACTGTTAATAATAAAATACCTAGTTTCAAAGGGGATAGATAGTATTTTTTTCAGATAATACAATATTTTGAACATAGCAGTTCACTGTGCTTTAACATTTCATGATCCTAAGCTGACTATAATCCCCACTAAGGAACTCTTACACCACACCTGCAAAGGGCAAGCATTGTGCAAGGCTGGCCAGGGCTGGAGTGATTTGTGGAGACACTGGCAGAACAGTGAAGTTGGGAAGAATAACGTTCCGTTTTCAAAGAGGTTTTTACAGCAGATGGGCAGCTCATAGGGCATGCCGAGTGATGTGGTCACATAGCACCCAGCTGCCCATGTTTGGAGCAGACATGCTTTAATGAGAATGGTTCAGACTGGGACACACTTTCCTGGTTAGGAGAGGTCTGGGATGCTGGATTTAGGGCCGACTTGTCTTCTCTAGGGCTATTCCTAGCCCAAATGAGCTCCTGAGGGCCCATCTTTCTTGCCTTCTCAAGCCATACTTAATGTCTTCTTGTTGCTCTCTGGATAACACTGCTGCTCAGTCTTAACCCCACAAAGCAATGGGTCCCTGTCCCTGTGGGTCCAAGCACATCACGGGCGGCTACTTTACATGGAAGCTGTATAGGGGATACATGCATTGGATAGCTGATGGGACAGAATTTATTTTGAGGTCCCCTCCAACTCTGTGATTCTATGGTTCAAAGACGGCTTATGAGTATTTGACTTGAGGAAAGAGTTAATGAAAGAGCGTAAGGATGTCTTGATACTGTCATGCTTTAAAACACATCAGGGACTAGTTATTTTTAAAAAATTACTGAACAGCATTTAAAGGTGGTACCACTAAATTCTGGAACTGAAAAATGTGAACATATAATTTTTCTTGTCTTCATAAATCTTGGTCTATAAATACATGCATACATGCAACACACACACATAACTACGCTAGATTTATATTATGACTTTGTAGTTTCATATTAGCTGGATAATGTTTATATACAAATCAAACTCAGGCTGACACTTAGCATTTTGGAGCTGGAAATTTACTTCTTAAGTCCCCTGGTCCAACTCCTTTATATAATAGTCAACTGAGTGAAGTGTTCACAAACTGACCACTCCCATTCCAAAGCAAAGACAACTTTTGAAGAGAACGTTTCGTAAGCAATCAGCTCTTCTATCAGTATAAATTATTAGGAGCAAAAGTACAGAGTTATAAAGCAATTCTTAATTTCCCCTTTCCTACAAGTATGGACAAAAAATGCTTCTTACACCTAAAAGCTACTGGCAGTTGCTTAAAAAAAACAAAAAACAAAAAACAGAGGTTGTTGTTAGTTTTACATTGGAAGCAATACAATCTATTGGAGGAATAGGCCTTTCTGAATTAATAAACACTCATATCCTTCTTTCAAGGCTAGGGCCCATGTCTGAAAACATCTTGTGTTCTCAGCAGCTAATACTGCACCCACACAGAAATAGTGGAATATGGAGGGAAGTCTCTAAATTAGCACTTAGAGCTAGATTATGCACCAGGTGAATTAGTACATAAAAGCTCTTAGTAGTAAAGTCTGGCTCTACTTCAAATAAATCAGATTTATTCTCAAATGAAAAAGAAATCACCAAACTTTCATGTACTTGCTTCTTGTTTATCACTAAATCTTACAAATTCCTTGAGCTGAGCTGAGGACAGGCACTGTAACCATTTCACCCAAGGATAAAGCCTCAGAAACAAAAATCCAGCAAAGACTTATTCCTCCTGTGAGAAATTATGACAGAAGAGAAAAAAAACCCGCACATTTATCGTGACTAGTTAATCAAAAGAGAACCAAATCTGAGTAGAAGCTGTGCTTCTAGTATCAGGATACCCGAGGATCACCACTGATCTCGCAGGGAGCCCACACACGTCAGTCTGCAGGCTCACGGGCTGCCCAGGTGTTACTGGCAGAGGTATCTAGACAATTACACAGGAAGGTCACAGTGATGGGAAGAAACGCCAGACAAGGACGGAAAGCACTCAGATGCTGCAATACGCTGTCTCCTCTAAGCCTCCCTAACAGAGAGCTTAATGCTAATTTTGGGGCATAATCACAGTGATTGTGTTGACTTCTAGAATGGCTATGTCTATATTCTTCCTTCTTCCTTAATTCTGTGTAGCTTCTCCTAATTTTCATTTTATACACATATGCCATACATATGTAAGTGTACGTAATTTATTTTTTGGTATGAGAGGGCTTGATGCCTCCAAAGCATTTGAAAAAGAGAATATACTAATAAATCAGTATGTAATTTAGATGTGTTAAAACATTAATATTCAAACTACGTTAAGGTAGGCAGTCCATTCCAGAGTTTAGGATTATACACAAAGCATATTCTACTTTTATGATGTAAATTTCATACCAATATTATTTGGAGTACAGGGTACCGTATTTTGAACATATTAATACCTTATAAGAAAGTTGATTACCCTTAAATATTAGATTCGTGATGGTTTGCTACAGTCCCAAGTGTTACTGAATTATAGCTGACAGAACCTACAGTTCTAATTTCATAGTGGAAGCAAGTGGAGAATGGGATTCATTTTTTTAAAAAAGTTAGAAAATTTTAAATTAAATGTCTCGAGCATGAAAAATAGCATAGCAAATATAAAACACCCAGGTAACTACTATCTAGTTTTGTTAAATATTAATATTTTGTCTTATTTGTTTCAGGTTTTTCTTTTTAAAGAAACAGAGATGGATGATACCCCCCAATCCCATTCTTTCTACCTGCATCCCCTAGAGGCAACTACTATCCTTAACCTAGCTTCTGTCATTCCAGTGAAAAATTTTAACTTTTTTGCATGTGCATATATCAAAAAAGAATGTATAGACTCAACCTGCATATTAGAAACTTTATACCAATAGTATCATGCTGTGCTTATCATTCTACCAGTGTTTCTGGATATTTATCTATGCTACCATAGATAGCTCTAATGCACTTGTTTTAACCCTTGTATGTGGTTTTGCTCTGTGAAGGTACTTTAACCATTTTCCTACCAGTGAATACTCAGTATCTCCCCCCAGTCTCTATTATGAATAATGCCATCATTAATTTGCCCTGCTGCAGAATTGTTCTTCCGTCTGGACTTCAAAAACCCTTGAACCCAGCTGACAGTGCTGCAACATCCAGTCTCCCAAGACAAAGCATTACTCACTTCCTCCTGTTCTCTCACTCCCCACACTGGACCACTGTGCCCTCGCCGTGAAATGTCTCTCTCACTGTTCCCTCTTTTCAACTGCCCAGCCCTTCTTTCTACCACTGATGCAGCTCAAGCTATTACCTCTAGGTTACAGGCCTCCCAGATGCCAGGTGCATCTACTTCAAATCAATCCCGCACCGTGTGTCTGCTGGAAGAATGCACTGTAGCCCAAACTGGCCACCCCATGCCCTATAGTCACCTCCACTGTGTATGGGACACAAGTTCCTCATAAACGTTCTCCAAACCAGGCCTGCATTTCTCTTTGGCCTTGTCTTCCTTCAGCATGCCTCTCCTGCTGGAAGCTCCGACCCCCTATTCCATGCTGGCTCTGAGCCTCTGCCTCCCCCATCCTTTAGGACTATTTTGGTTTCACACCGACCAGGGAACCTCCCTGGCCATCCTCTGTGCTCCCCGTGCAGGCTCCACTGCGTCCTGGCACTTGCCACATTTCCCTGACATTCCGAGAACCACCTGTGTTCCTCCTGAGTTGGGAGTGCTGCTTGCGGGCAGGGACTGAGTTCTATTCACCTGCATACCTCCGGTACCTAGGAAAGCATCTGAGGCACTAACGGGCATTTAGACCCTGGCTGAATTGAAGTGGAAGGTAGTCAATCCATTAAGTATATTTTTGTTTCATAATAAAGGAGAGCCAGTCTGTTGAAAACAGTGGATTTACTACGGAATACTTAATAAAAAAAAGATGTATTCAGTCCTCTATGTACAAGACATCTGTTAGCTGATACCTATGCATTTAAGTACAATAACTAATATGAGTCAAGATGAGCCTATAACACTGCAAGTACTTTCTGAATCATTAGATTCGATTCAGCCTTTGTCACAGTCGTGAGCCATGGTACCATGATCTCCTGCCTAGAACCTCCAACTTCTTCCCAGTGCCACCATGCAAAGACATCGTCTAGATGGTTTTCAGCATTTCGTCCAGGACAAGATCACATTGTTCACCCACCTGTAACAAGCTCCCGTACTTCTGCATCAACAGATTTTCTCAACAGTCGCAACAAGGCAGGTATCCCACCAACATTCTTCATTGCTATTTTATTTTCATCTGTAGACTTGCCAAAAACAAGGTTTCGGAGGGCACCACAAGCATTCTTCTGAACTTCCAAAACTCTGTGGTCCAAAAGGTCAACCAGATGCTTGATTCCCCCTAATCTACACACCTAGAATGAAAAATATTAGGAACCAGGCCTAAGTGACATATGATTAATCAGTGATCAAACAAAAGTCTGTTATGGAAAGATCACGGGAAATGGACAACTCCAGATCATTTGAAAAGGTTGCTTTTTATTCTAAATAACACATCTTTTATAAACATTAGGGACACTCTCCAAGATTAAGCTCCTCTCCTGGGTTTGGCTTAAAAAAAGGAAGGGAGAACTAGGTGTACTAATGGCCATGTGTAGCTAGCACATCCTACTCCAACCTCCCAAACACACAGACGGATTATGCTTACACTTCTGAGGGCAATGAGCAAATACATAAACACAACAAAGCTGTAAGCAGGATCAGAGGTAACATATAGGAACGGATTTTTGACTGAAGTCACTTGGTTTACACAATTGTTTCTCTAGACTACCTTCCCTAATCTTTCATTTGTCAAGTAATTAGTACATTACATAAATATTTCTGGGCTTTATGTCCTTCATCCACCTTTAGCTCAGTAACTGGTATGTTGTTTTGCATAGTAGGTTGATGAAAAACACTTAGGTTCCATATGCCATTGCAGGGGGGACAATGCTAAGATATTAAAAGAAAGAATCTGTATGTCATAGGACACTAGTCGATAACCAATGACTCACTGTATTTCTATAAATGCCAAAAAACTTTAAAATGTCAAATAAAATACTCACATAGGTTCAGTATTAGTAACAGTTATAAATTCTCTGTAACTTTACTTAATTGTATGTTGGCACCGATCTTGACCAGAACCTCGTCAAGTACATGAGCTCACTAGTTTCATACATGATTTTTATCTAATAGATTTTTAGAAATCACTTCAAAAATTCAGGTTAAATTGATTTTTGCTTCATGTTTTGTAAATAAGCTAACAGCGGACACATGATTTGAAAATGCCAGCAGCCCTCCAAGAGGTACGCTCATCCTGGTTTCTCCTGAGAAATACTGAAATGCATGGTTAAGAAGTAAAGGGGTAACCCTTTGAAAGGGCCCCTGAATTGCATCTGGTAGTTTCTAAAGCACACACGCGTGTGACTGCTGGACGGAAAGGCACTGACTGCGTCCCGGGGGCCTGCCCGGCGCCGGGGGCTGTACCTCCATTTTCACTTTGTTGTCGCCGAAGCACAGGTGCTGCAGGTAGGCGGCCGCGTTCGCCTGGACCGATGGGAACTGGTGCTGCAGCATGTGGATGACTTCAGGCAACTCAGGGTCGCGCCAGGCAAACTCCCTGTGCGAGAAAAACACAGTTTCAAAAAAGAAAGAACCGTGTTTTAACAATGCACTGAATGAAGCACTTGTCAGAAGAAAAGAGGCTTGGCTGAGGCCAGAACCGGCAGTTACAAGACTCCTAGAAGAGATTAATGTAAGTAACCTTCCCCCTCCGCGATCCACATATGCAGAGGCCTGGATGCTTCTGATCTTAAAGAAATCACAATAAAACAGATGCACAGGAAGAGATTCAAGAGAACAAAGGAAGTTCTTAATATGAAAAACTTTTCCATTCTCATTTTCTTCTTCGATTCTAATTTTATGGCTTTCTACCTATGTCAGAAATTTGCGGGTGCGAGGCTCAGGTGAACAAGTGCACTTTAGTCAGGTGAGAAGTCATGCCTGAGCAGAGAGAAAGAAAGGCTGGTCTGGTGTCAGCCTGGAATGTGCAAATAGTGTGGGCCTGAAGATTTTTAAGAAACTTAATATGTATGGTTGCTCTTGATGATAAGATAGAAACACAGAAAATTATAAAAAAAATATTTAATCAATAAGCCTCTATACCCAGAAAAAAAACACTGTTGACATTTCCTGCTGGTCTTTTTTTTTTCTATTATGTGTGCAAATGTGCATGTGGGTATACAGAACATTTTTTCAAAGAAGTGAATCATATTAAATAGCACTTAATATTTCATGAGTACTTATTCTGGGTACTTTATGTGTATTAATTCATTTATTCTTATTGCAACCACATAGATATGGAGGTTGAGACAGAGAGGCTAAGCAACTTGCCTAAAGTCACTCAGCTAGTCAACAGCAGAGCAATCTACTTTCAGAGTTTGTATCATCAACCCTTATGCTATCCCAACTTCTTGTATAAGGAGTATACAATCATATTAAGCTCATACACTTTTATACTCTGCCTTTTCAGGTAACATCACATTGTTAGAATTTTCTGATGTCAATTGATTGGCTCACTTTTTGGGATCCTTGTTAAATGTGAATATATGCTTATATCATATGAAGACCAGCTTCTTAGAAATGATTCACAAAACAACAAATTTGCAGACTTTGACTACAGAATGAACTATTACAAAAATTAATTAATACTGAATAAACCTTAAAAAACCCTTTACATTAGTAACCTACTGATACTTCTATTGTCCAGTTTATAAAGGCCTAGAGTCTCTCTTAATCTGGGAAGGCTCCATGTGTTAACTTGCTTATCCAATACAAAGGGGTAATCTACACCTGCACACACATACATACCCATTCAAATGAACAGTGAATCCTTCCTATGCTGCAGGTACCATAGCAAGTGCTAGAGAGATAAAAGCATTGGTTTCATGTACAGAGTCTTGTACGCCCAACTAAAAAGTTTAGTCTCAATAATCAGCAACGGGAGTTACTATTTATTGAGTTTATCTGCTTCAGGCACTATGTCACAAGCTTTATATGCATTACCTCATTTACCTTGACTTGCCCCATTAGGCAGGCACCATTAAATAACATTTAAAAGAGAAAAGGAACTGAGATTAGTAATTAAATGACCAGAGGTGGGTGAAACCCAGGTAGTCTATATGTTGCCCCGACACAGAAGGAACAGATGGCAGAGGTTTTGAGGCAGAAAAGTGAGAGAATGCAACATTTATAAGGTTAGATTTATAAGGAAGATAACTCTGGTGGCCAAGTAGAGAATGTACTAGAGTCAGAAAAGACTGGTGACAAGAAGACTCCACTATTTGCTCAAAACAAAATAGAGCCATCCTTGACTTCTCCCTTTCCTAAATCCTTCTTATCCTACCTATCAGCAAGCTTTGTTGACTATTTCTAAAATATTTCATATAAACCCAACCCATCCATTCTCTCTATCTTGCCTGGCCAATCTAACAGCCTCCTATAGGCTCTCTCTGCTTCAAATATCACCTCCTCACCCCATCCACTCTGCACAGCAGCCAGATCATTTTCGGAAAACTGAAGCCAAGGGTAAGATGGAGATTTCTGGCTTGGGGGACAGATGGATGAGATTATCGTTAGTAAACATGAAGAATATCACAAATGCCAAGAGAGGCAGGCTAATACAGCAGAAAAGACACAGAATTTGGAGTTGGATTGCCCATGTGGAAATTCTAGGTCCTTTATTTACTATGTGATTTTGAAAACTACTTAATTATTTGGAGTGTTACTTTCCCCACCTGTGTAATAGGAACAATAAAACTATCATCTCTACCTCCTTCTTAGGTTGGCTGTGATGATTAAATTGTGATAATGTATATTAGAATATTTTATATACTTTGAAATAATATTGATATGGATGTTTTATTAATATTCGCCAGCCCTAAGAAAGAAACTATTCTAAATAGGGTCACTCTCTATAATAAATAAATCCCCTTTTATGTATTGTTAACTATGTTAACTATTTCTGGTCAAAATCTGTCTAAAGCCTGTTATGTAAACCTATGCTGTAATTAACAGAATGCAAGGAGTGTGACTTCATCTTTCTTTGATGACTCACAATCATTACAAATACACATTTTCCTCCTCTTTAAATGGCACAGATATGGTCAAGATTTCCTGGTATGAGGGCCAGACAATACAAAGGGTGGGCTCCAGCTAGAGATGGGCGGTTAGGCTTGGTTGGCATCAATTCCAACCCTGATTTTCAGCAGAAATTTACCCTGAAAAGACTGCTATCAATTCATGGGCTGGCTGGATGGCATCAATGCCTGCCAGGATTTGCATCATCCAAACCTAAGCCCAGCACCTGTGGTGATGAGCACTGGGTGTTATACGCAACTAATGAACTGTTGAACACTACATCAAAAACTAATGATGTACTGTATGTTGGCTAACTGAACATAAAAAAACAAAAACAAAAAACCCCAAACATCTAAGCCCAGAATTCTGTTTTCAGCCATGATAGAGTAACTGGTACTAGACTTTGCCCTTCCACAAAACACAACTCTACAACCAGACTAAATGTAGGAAGGAACTGTTTTCAGGTGCCGGACATTGGGTAAGACAAGAATGTAATCCCTGAGAGATGGGAATCATCACAGGAGCCCCATATACCCTGGCTTTCTGCCTGAGGGCATTTTTTTGAATCATGACACAGGAAGCTGAGTCCAGGAAATAGAGCAATGGACTTAGTGAACTGAGGCGGAGAGACTAGGACTTGGGGATGCCAAAGTGGTTTGAATTTGTGGGGCAGGGTACAGGAGAGGAGGGAACTATGAAGAGGAGATTTTATAAGTCTACAGGAGGATTACTCACAAGTCCTTAGTTGAATGCTGGGCTGTATATGTTCCTGACACATGTACAGGGCGGTGGAGTAGCTGTTGGAGGACAGAACTGAGCATATGCTGCGTGATGCTGGACCTCCAGCCCAGAGAACAAACTTCATTGAGCACTCCAGGATTTAGTCTCCACAAAGAACTATGCCAGAGAGTAGAAGAATACACTAGGAGTAAAACAAACCTGAAACAGACCCATCCTAGAAGAACAAAACCAATCTTGACAGGACCAAAAGCATCTGTCAGTAATACTTAATCTGCCAAAACAAAACTCAGAACCCTAATAGGAGACAACATAATCCAGAGTCCCTACAATGAATGTATCATCCACAATAGTTAGCATACGATTTAAAACTGCTACGCATAAAAGGAAATAGGAAAATGTGACCTACAAAGATGTAAAAACAAAACAAACCAAAACCAAAACACCCAAATAATAGAAACAGACCCAGAGAAAACCCAGATGTTGGAATTATCAGAGGAGGACTCTAAAAGGTCATTATAGATGTGCTCAAAAAAATAAAGGAAAAGATGCATGTAGGGAATGAATAGATGAAGAATGTCTTCTGACACATGGAAACTATAAAAAAAACCCCACCAAATTCAAGTACCTGAAATAAAAAAATTCACTGGATGGGCTTACCACAGATTGTGGAGACTATAGAAGAAAAGACAATAAATTACAAAGACAGAACAATAAAAAATACCAATATGAAGAATATAGAGAAAAAAGATTTTAAAATATAAACAGAGCCTTAGTAACCTGTAGGATAATGTCAACTTATTCCAGGGGAGAATGACTCTGGGGCAGAAAAAAATATTTAAAGCAATAATGGTTAAAAATGTCCCAGTTTTGGTAAAAATCATCAACTAACATTCAAAGAATCTCAGTGAATCCCAAGCAGGTTAAATGTTAAAAAAACAAAACAAAACAAAACAAAACAAAAAACCTAGGCCTGTCACAGTAAAATAGCAAGAGAAAAACCTGAAAGGTAGCCAAGAGAAGGTATATTACATAATGAGAATGATGATTTCTCATCAGAAACAATGGAAGTCTGAAGACAATGAATGACATTTTTTAAAGAACTAAAAGGGAAAACCCATACCTGTCAATCCTGAATTTTGTATCTGGCAAAAATATCCTTTAAAAATCAATTAAATAAAAACATTTTCAGATAAATTAAAGCTGGCAGACATGCAACACAGGAAAGGATAAAGGAAGGGTTAGGTTAAAGGGAAATGGGTTGAGATGGAAACCTGAATTTATACTAAGAATATATAGGAAGATAACTGTATGTGGTAAACATGAAGTGAAGATAAAGATCATTGTTTCTTACTTCTCTTAATTTCTTTAAAAGATAACGAATATTTACAGTAAAAATAATAAGACTATATTATGACTTTTATTATGGATGTAGACGTAAAATATTTGACAATATAAAGGTCAAAGGGACAGTAAATGGAATTATTTTGCACAGATTAGGCCCTGCTCAAAAGGAACACCATGAATGCTATTATTCTTTATGTCACTATCGCTTTCCATAGGAGGTACTTCTGTCACTCCTTCTAGATGTGTCACTTACACTACTAATACATTTTGCTTCCACACTAGGCAACACAGATTTCCATTTATATAGAAAACATCAGTAACTGCTTCAGTCTTACAAGAAATTTTTCAGGCTAATTATAATGCAGCAGTAATGGTAAAGAACATGGGCTTAGAAGTGAATAAAAATATTACTTCAAGTTTGCTATTTTCAAAACTAAAAATTAAAAGCTGTCATGAGCTTTTTATTTTGGTTTGAATATTTAAACTTCAGATTCACCTGGATTCCAGTTTCGTCTAGAATAAATGCACTTATTATTATAATCACTTATTCATCTTACAAAATGCATTATCGGTAAAGTTTCACATAATCAAAGCTAGCCATAACAGTTTTATGTTAGACTACAAAATTATCATACTATGAATAGCTGAAGTATATTATCATACATGAAATCCTTATTTATAGTGAATCAACTCATATCAGAGGTCAAAATTGAAGTCTTTAGGGACACATATTACGCTCAAAGCTCTAATCACACTTCACTGTCTTTCTGGATAGCTATTCTTTTCTCTGCAGGTTCAGCCAAGGTATAGTCTAAATTGCCTATAATTTAAAACCCTTTTGGGAATTTCTGCATCTACTAGGGTGCCTTAGTATTTTGTCATTTTGAGGTTTTAAAAAATGAAATCATGTAAAAGTATTTTTGACTTAATTATATTGGAGGTACTATAAGACAAATTATTTAAAAACCCTTAAAATGGCAAGAACATGGACTAGCAGAACCACACTAATGTATGAACGAGAAAGAACTTTAAGAGTGACTAGGTGGAATGGTCCTAGTGAAGCAGTGGGCTTCCCATTCAACTCAAAAGTACTTTTATTTTGTTTTAATGAGCAAAATCTCACTCATGTCCTTAATTCACATTCATTAGAATAAGTTGGTAGGTTGCTAAAGATGAATTGATAATTATAACAATTTTCCAGTAAAACAACAATTTGTAGGCAAAGAGTGAATGAAATCTTGCTAATATATGCCTTCATATAATACTCAAGCTGCTTAAAATTTAACAATAATTTCACTCTTTCAGAAATTAAAATTCTCGTTCAGTTTCTATCTTTTTTATTTCCTGAATATTTTAAATGGCTTTCATTACAGATGAGGCTCTTTTTCAAAATCAATCAAGTACTAAATGACTCATACTTATCTTAATAAAACATGCTTTCTACATGGCCAAATAAAATTAAAAGGAGGAAACATGTATTATTGGCCAAATATTTTTTGCTTATGAAATATGAGAATTTCTTGTCAACTATTTTCTCCTAAATGGCAGAAGTTAATAGTTAATAAAAGCACAACACAGCACTGACCAGTAGGATTCAAAATGTACACAACACCAGTCTTTTCCAGTTTAAAACACCACACATTATTTCTGAAGCCCTCATCTATAGAGTCAGTCAGGATAAAGGAAAAGGGGTAAAATGATCCTTAAAAATCTTTCATATAATTCAGACTAAGAGGCTATCCCAGGGAGTTGTCTTGCTGAAGTATGGCACTGATGAATGCTGCAGATATTCACACAGACCTGTGCATTCTCTAACTTATTATTAAAGCATTGAAAGAAGGAATCTATCTTTAAAACAAAATTAAACTCAATGACCAACAGTGCTAAAATACAAGTGGAAATACTAGAGATAAGGAGTTAACTGATACTATAATAGACTTGGCAACTTGAACAAAAGCCAGAATGAAGGAACTGTCGATGCCCGGGATACTGTAGCATTCTGGAGACTCATAACCAGTACTTGCCTGGGGTCTTTCTGAATGCTGTCTATTGACGGGGATCTCGTGGTGCCATCATCAGCTGGCGCTGCGTGCTGAAGCCTGTTATAATTGCACTCTTGCACTCGGTATTGTATTGGCCTGTAGGGCTCCGCGTAGGTAGCTGTTGTGTTCAAAGCATAATTATTTCTTTGGTATGTAAGGGTGCTTCGTTGGCTGGATGTCCTTTGCAGATTTCCAACACCTAGAAAGTCAACATTTTTTAAAATGACAAGGTGATACTTTTCAAAGTAAAACTATTTTTAAGAAGGATTATAGTTTTTAACAATTACATAAATTGCTTTATAGATTTTATCAATATTACCAATTTAGATTTTAGATTTTACCTATCTAGCTCATTAGTGCTAAAAAAGGCACTCAGGTTTTTAATATACACCAACAATATGTCAATTTTATTAGCAGAAAAGAGCAAAAATAAAACTATAAATCTGCTTAGATCTTACTATGTTTATTAAGATTTAGTACGAAAGTGCAAGGGAAATGTGGGGAAAGAATTTGAGAAATAAATGACACAATGGCATAATTTCATTTTAGCAATAAAAAACAATTATTCAAGTCTGTAAATAATCGAGGTCAAACTTCGAACATGAAGCATACACAAGTTACTTATTTTGATATACGTTTTATTTATAGACCTTTGGATTTTGATAATACTGGAAAATTTACTTCATAAGAAGGAAGACTGATGTATCAAAATCTTCTATAGCTACTCCCCTAAATTTTTGCATGATGCTATATATAAAGGTACTGTACACTGTATGTTCTTTCTTAATTATTGCAGAAGGTATCTCTCCAATGATTGCAGACATATTCTTCCCACAATAATTTTAATAACATTATTTATTTCTTAATCCTATGAAAGAAATTCCTTGGGAGTTCCCTTCTACTTGCTTGATAGGATGCTGAATCACCAATCATTTAATAAAGCCAATTAGATCTTTAAAAAAATTCCTCAATTTACAGAACATAACAAGTGCAATATTTCTTCACTAGTATCTATTAAAAATTGGTACATTTTATTAGAAGAAAAATCCTGCAGCAGACCAAATTATCAGTGTTTGGCAAAGAATCAATTCAGATACAGTCTCCTCCCTCCTGGTGTTCTGGGAGGTATGCCTCCTAGAGCTATGCCTTTATGGGGTTATCGTTGTGGGCATGTTAATAAATCTGTCCTATCTGTTCTGCTTTTTTTTTTTTTTTTTAAAGATTTTATTTCTTTATTTGAGAGAGAGCACATGAGAGGGGTTAGGGTCAGAGGGAGAAGCAGACTCCCTGCTGAGCAGGGAGCCCGATGCGGGACTCGATCCAGGGACTCCAGGATCATGACCTGAGCCGAAGGCAGTCGCTTAACCAACTGAGCCACCCAGGCGCCCTCTCTTTTGCTTTTTAACAATTTTATTTATTTATTTTAGAGAATAGAGAGAGAGAGAGAGATTGTGAACAGGGCAAGGAGCAGAGGGAGATAATCTCCAGCCAATTCTGCGCTGAGTGTGGAGCCTGATGCGGGGCTCGATCCCAAAACCCTGAGATCATGACCTGAGCTGAAACCAAGAGTGGGATGCTCAACCAACTGAGCCACCCAGGCGCCCCTGTACTAGCTCTTTTTAAAAAAGAAAAAAAAAAAAAAAAAAAGAAAGAAGGGGCTTCTTGGGATTCCATGAGCCAGACCTGCAGCACAGTCTGGCAGTTCACGTGGCCACGGGGTATTGCTTCTGCTCTATCAGCCACTATGGTGTGGCATAAATGTGAGAGTGGTGGTGCAAGCATGTGAGGCACTAGCTCCCTGTTTTTATAAATGCAGTTATTGTATTCTGTCCCAGACTGGGTCCATAATAAGGAATATTTATTTCACATTCTACACTTAGACATTCAGAGGAAATCTAATTATCTAAAAAGGAGTAATACGAAATACACTTGGGCTGCATACATGCTAAATCAAAGATAGGCAAAAACTCATAAAGGGATCTTCTCTAAATACACGTTTCAGGCAACAAAAATCACAAAGGAATATTCCAAACAAAGGTTTCCCTTTCTAGATCTGATATGTTTTAAACCCAAGGAGAGTCAGATTTATAGCTCTACAAACTTACTTGTGAATTAACAGTATAATCACTAGGTTTGTTGATTAGATTAAAACTAAGGTTAAAAAAAACATATCGCCTATAAAGAGGTACAACACGAACTTCTGTGTTACTGTTTATTGATCAGCTGTCACAGCTGCTTATCTGACAACCAAATGGGCAACATGATTTCATACTAACAGGGCACCCAATCTCAATAAAAATCTGCTCTTGGGCCCGTGCATTTGGGAAACGAGCTGACAGTGCTGAGGCCCACCTGAGCCTGTGCGGTACAGTGCCGTCTGTGACCCTTGGAGCTCCACGGTGCCGTGGTTTGGGCTGCGGTACACTGGGCTGTAATAGGTCCTCCCCTCATATATAGGAGTGATGTGCAAGTCAGGAGACACAGCTGAACGAATGTCTTGCCCAAGCTGGCTGTGCTGGCTAGCATAGGAACTCCGTAAGCCTAGAGGCAGGAAAATTACATCATCAAGAAATTGAGAAAACTGTGATGAGGTTAAAAAGCCTTAATTAATCGGACCTTACCAATAGGACCAAATGTTAAGTCTAAACACCAAACCTGTTGAGTTCTACAAAAGGAGGATGCCAGATATGAAAAGGACACCATATACATTTTCAGAGGCAAACCTTCTCTGGCAGCCAGATATAGGTAAATTTTGTAAGAAAAAATAAATTATTAGATGGTCTGGTACTCAGAAATTCGTTCCCCAGCTGTAAGCTGTTTTATTGTGGTGACCAAAGAGAGCATGCCCTCTTCTACTGTTAGACCATTTTCATTGTTAAAATGTAAGAACAATGGTTCATGCCATTCTCTTGGCTGCTCCACAGAACTGGACAAGCAGCTCTCTGGGGGCAGGGCCCACCATGCCCCACACTTCTTAAACCTCAACGTTAGGACAATGTCTATGTAATAGTGCTTAGTAAAGGCTGATGTTCAAGAACACTTTTGAAATATGTCTCTCAATTCACCCATGATTTTTACAGGAAAATATGAAATTTTATGTTACAAAATTTAGAATACTATCAGTGAACTAATAGCATTCATTAAGTATTATGAGGTATTATATTACTATTTGTTGTTACTGTATTTTTCCTTTTTTTTTTTTTTTTTAAACAAACATAGTTGTTTTTGCAGGAACCCACATGCCAGCTTCTTGTTTACCTTCTTTCTAGTGCAAAGGAAAAGTACAAAGTTAGTACATTAGTATTAAATCATTTGAAATATTCTTTCATTCAAATTGCTAACTAGAAAGTCAACATTTTTTAGTGGGACTTGTGATAAAAAAGTACATTTCAAACCCAAACATTTTATTTTCTTAAAGAAAGTGAATTAGTACATTTCAATATTATGATGCTCCAAAGTTTGTGATTTGTCATTATTAGTAAGTAAAATCCGTCACTTGTTAAGAATACTAAGATTACATTCCAAATTTGAATAAGAGAAAGCACAAATGTATCTGAAGTCCGCACTTACTTGCTTTTTAAAAGACTGCAAATAATTAACACAGTAACTAATTACAAAAAGATAGGATCACTCACCTCCTATTAGCTCAGTTAGTCATATCAGAACTAAAAGCAAATTGGCCTGAATGTGAGTGATACTGTTGCTTATTGAGGAGTGGCAAGAAAGTTTAATATGTAGAGCTTTCAAGATGAATGATTATTACCCACCCTGGACAGCAATGTGACATGGAAAGAAACTAAATGAACCAATGTGGATTTTAGCCACTGGCTCTCCACTTGCTAAAATGAAGATCGTAGGCTTAAACAATCATACAATTGGGAGATTATCCGGCCAAACCTCATTTCGAAACCAAGGAAACTGAGAGCCCAAAAAGAAATGTGATTCGTTCCCTTCAGAGAACTGCTTCCTGGTAGGGCTGAGAGGAAGCACCCAACACTGGACACAGCTAACCCTCAAGGTTCAAGGAGACATGGTGTGAGAAATCTTGAATTTGGCAGAGCCCTCCATGAATTAAAGGGCCAGGTCAGCCCACCAGGGGGACATGGAAGCCAATATAACTCTAAAGATGATACTATGATCGTTACTGTAAAGTTCTCATTTGGGGATTTCGGCTTTTATTCACTTGCAGATTTCTCATTCCTCTTAGCAGAGGAAAACTCCATTTCTTTATGGAACTCATGAGTATTCTGAATAAAGGTGCAGGCATTGTATTTATTAATGGTGATATAAAGTGGGCAGGTAAACAGACCTGGTCCTTGGTAATCTCTTCAACAAAGGTGCTATTTTAACACTCAGTAGAGCCACAAATGCTTGTGATTTACTGTGGGATTTTGTAGATCACTTAACACTTGGGCACCGCAAGCTGAGCACTGGATGCTCCTGAAGTCGGCTGAGCCGCCATGCCCCGCCCCCACCCCCACTCCACGGTCATGTGAAGTAAGACCAAACCATTCTGCAGCATTCTCAGAATGTTATAGTCTCCCTGTGCAAGGATCCAGCTAGATTCTTCACTGGAAACCATGTGGTATGATATGATTTATAAATATTTGTACATATTTACTATAATTTCATGGGAAAGGTAACAAAATGAGCTTGCTGATAACTCTAAAAAGCATCCAGCAAATACTCACTTGTTATAAGATTATTAGTGAGATTAAATTACTATATGTGACAGACTATAATGGGAAATAAAAGCCTTAGAATGAAATATAGTACTTTTTGATTTTTAGAAATCTTTGTGAATAACATAACAGTGGTGGTTACTATTTTTGTTCACCTACTCATGCACGCAAACAAATAAAACACACAGTCCTATAGATTTACATTTTTAAAAAAATTACATAGCCTCTATAGAATAAGTAAAGTGATTATATGTAGAAAGTCCACCAAAACTTAGTATCTTTTAAATTGGAAGACAAGTAATTACCTTCTATAATTGTTATTAGAAATAATTTTTCCAGAAGTATTCACAGAATTAATTTTTAATAGTCTTATCTCCCTCTTCAAATAATGGAAAACACTGATCTTCCACAATATTATTTACCTATACAATAGTTTCTATTTGCAATTCCACAAATACATACTAGTTTACCTATTACAGTGACATATTCCCTGTGATTTAAAATCTTTATATTTAAGACACTTAAATAAATATGAATTTATCTCCCAAATAGTATTCTTTGTATTCTCAAAACTTTTCTTGACATGCTACGATTTTACTGAAATGAGTATTTTAGGGCAGGCATATTTTTCTGTTGTAGGAAGTAATTTATACACATATTGTATCATCACTTAAATTATGATCACCAAATACCTAAGTGTCTGAATCTATTACAAAATATTGCTTCAGGTTTATCAATTAGAAGGTTATTAACCCTTTGAAATCAAGAACCATAGTAAATATCATGACAAGTACAACACTTTCTGAAGTAAGAATAAAAGAAAGGAATTCACAAAATAGGATCCACATTCAGAATAAGCAGGCAGGTAGATGATGAGAAGCAAAACTTCCCTGGACCCTTTATATAAGGAAACCCTTTGCTTCTCTTGAAGACTGTAGTAGACTAGGGGAAAAAAAATCTGTGATAGGCTAGGTCTGCTTTTTTACCCCTGAAACAAAGTCTAGTTTCACCTGCAATGTCAGAAGGCACGCTTTTTAAACCAAAGGAAATCATCCGTCTCAGGGTTAAACATAGACAGTAATTTATGTGCTCACTTCCTTTCCTGGGCTTCTACTTCACTCTATTGCAAACATAGATTTCTGCATAGCTATTCTATACATACACGGGGGGGAATACAGAAATCCTCAGAACTATTTATCTTTGAAGGTTTCCTTAGGAGACAGAATTTCATAAATGATTTCTACCTCACTTTGCTGCAGACTTTCAGAGGCAAGAAAATATCTAAGCCAAGTACTCTCCTCTGATGACTGAATGAAAAAGAGGTAGTTTCTCCACTAGGACTTTCTCTGAGCTCAAATTCTAGTTCAATATTAATTCTTCATGCAAAATTATTCAATTAGAAAAATCTCAAAAAGGCTTTACCTTTCTCAGATGCCATAAGGAAAAGATACTGATTTTACTACAGAAAATACTAAAAATTTGTATAAGTAAGAAATACCAGAAACAAAGTCAAAAGACAGGTTACAAAATGGAAAAACTAATTGCAAAGTATATTACAAGAAACTAATTTACTTCAAGTATAAAAAAAGTTTTTACAAGTTATACAAATAGACAAAAATCCTAAACTTGTGGTTTGCAGAAAAGAAATAAAATGGCTGATAAACATGTATGATCTTCAATCTCAGTCAAAGCTCAATAAAGGGCATTTAAAACAATGAGATGCAGCTTTTAACCTACTCCACTGGCCAAGATGCAGCCCTGACAATATGCAGTGCTAGTGAAGGTGTAGGAGGACAGATAAGCTCAAAACTATTGGTGGAAATAGAAATCTATGCAACTTTTCTGGAAGGCAGGAGGTATGACAGTATTTCTTTAAGAACAAATAAGCATATATTTTGACTTAGCAATTTTACTTTAAGAAATGGATCCTGTAGTTTCTTAGTATCTATATGTAAAATATACAAGAAAAAAATATATTATTGCATTGTCTCTAATATCTAAAAGTGAAAAAACTACCTAAATGTCCATTAATAAGGAAGAGATTAAATGAATTATAATACATCTTTAAAAATGGGGTCCTCGGCATCCACTGACAGAATGGAGCTTTCAGACATATTAAAAAAAGAAAAAATATATATTACACATATTTATATATGTATAAGGTATATAAACATATAATAAAATTCCCATCAGTATAAAACACAATGTGTGCACATTTGTATGTAATATATATACTTATATACGCAAATACATATATACATACACTGGTGAGTGGGACTGGGTGAGGGTAGAGGAGCTTGAGATTTTCACTTCGTATTTCATATTTTCTTATATAGTTTTAATTTTTTTCCCATTGTGTATATGTTACTTTAAAAATGTAATTTAAAACACTAACTAAAGATAAATTTCAATTTGATAAAAAGAACAATGTCTATACATTATGTGGGAAACCCTCCATGAAAATACCCAGAAGGAAATGGCTATAATATCAGGCACCTTGCTGGTGTCTTTCTGATTTAATCCGAGTGGCATTTGAAGGTAATCATAAGAGCTTTGTGAATTTCCCACTGGGAAGCTAAAATCAAGGCAGTGGGTTAGAAAAATCCATATTCTACACCATTAAAGCATTTCTTTTTTAAAAAAAGCTATTTAAAGAGATACTCTAATATCATCTTTTAACATAACTTAGGGGTTTGGATATAGGTAAGCTTAGCTGGTGAAAAAATCTTTCATTAAAAAACAAAAACAAAACCCAACAAACAGCTTAGAATTCCAACCAGTGCTTCTAAAATGCAAAAGCATACTTTTCATTATCCTAATATTGGGAGGAGGAAGAATGTACTCCTTGTGAAAAATTTCTGATTGATAGAAATGTATATAGTTTCCTGCATTAAGAATTATAGCACCTGAAAGACAAGCCAGCCTGACATCAGCAATATAAACTTTGAGATAAAAATATGAGCTTTTCCCACTTTCTCATGCTCTGTTTCAGCACTGATCGCATGGAAGGCTTCCTCCTCGGGCTTTCTGTAGTGCTGTCACCTTGCACTCACCTGTGAGGCTGTCTGGCCGAGGTGGAACCATTCTTTCGTAAATTTCATACTGCTGCTGTCCAAATTGTTCCATGTCGTGAACAGTCCTTTGCAGTGAAGGTCCCAGATGTTGTGGTACGGCGGTCATCCCTGAGCGTTTGGGGGACGACGACCCCATCTGGCCTTGGGACGGGGAAGCTACTCGAGTCTGTGCATCCATCAGTGTCAGTGGGGACCCTACTCTGGCGGTAGTTTGGTACTGAGGGGTTGGTCCGTTGGGATTGGAGGTCTGCCGGGAGGTGACTGACCCAATCCGTCGTACAGCTGTTGGGGAGGCGGGTCTCTGTGCGGAGTACGGAGAGGCTGCCCGCTGAGCAGGTAATGTGGTGGAGGAATATGCACTGGGGTTCAGTGGTCGGGAGTCGGTCACTGACGGAGAGCCAAATCCACTACCCAGAGAAGTTCTCAGTGACCCCCTTGAAGGAGACACGCCTGTGCTGATAACATAAGAAGGAGACTGTGCTCTAGATGGAACTGAACTAACTCTTCTCATGGCCCGATTGGCTACTGACGGCTGATGAAAGGGGGGGAAAAAAAGAGAATGGGTTTATCCAGGGTTTTGCGTCCACTGTCACTACAGAAAAAAAAAATGCACATAGCTCACTAAAGAACGTGAATTCACTGTTTTTTCCTTTTTATGCTTTAGAGCTGGATATTTGTCCTTATCGTGCTTTACTTGTTCTACCTTTTTTTGGTAGTTTAACCTCTATCTTTTCCCCTTCAGAGTACTAAAATCAACCAGTAAAGAGAGATCTGAAGAATGCTTAATATTCCTTTTTCTTTTGTCTTTATATTTTTTTATCCTCTTGCACAGATAAAATGTTGTATTGCCATTTGCAACAACATGGATGGATCTAGAGGATATAATGCTAAGTGAAATAAGACAGAAAGACAAATACCGTATGATTTCACTCATATGTGGAAATGAAGAAACAAAACAAATGAAGAAACAAAGAAAAAAAGAGACAAAGGAAGAAAAAACAGACTTCTACATAGAGAGAACAAACTGGTGGTTGCCAGAGGGGAGGTGGGTGGGGGATTGGTAAAATAGATAAAGGGAATTAAGAAAAATAAAATAAAATCTTAAAAAAAAGAAAAGAAAACACAGTGATGAGCACGGAGTAATACATAGAACTGTTGAATTGCTATATGGTACATCTAAAACTAATATAACACTGTATGTTAATTATACTACAATAAAAAAGTGCTGTATTGCAAGTGTAAAGGGTCACTGGAACAATCTACTTATTTTGTGCCCTGTGAGTCAAACTTTGGCCAAGTTAATGCATTTATGTAAGACAAAACAAAACAAAACAAAATTTGAATGCATCAATCTAAATGTAGCTAGAGGAGTGTCTATAATTTATTCATCTTTATGGACTGGCCCCATTAACAAAAGGAATGTGTTCTCTCAATGTGGAATAAATGAATGCTTGCATAGGGTCTGGGGTCCAAAGCTCTCCTCTGTGAAGCTACTCTCAAGGGACAGCTTGGCTGCACAGGTGCTCCAGCCGAATTTCTCTTCTTTTAGCTCAAGCGTGGCTCCCTAGTGATTTTGGCCATTTCTTTCTACCTCCTTTGATCTATGAGCTCTTATCTTTAGCTGGTGGATTTATTTATTTATTTATTTTTTTAAAGATTTTATTTATTTATTTGAGAGAGAGAGAGAATGAGAGAGAGCACATGAGAGGGGGGAGGGGCAGAGGGAGAAGCAGACTCCCCGCCGAGCAGGGAGCCCGATGCGGGACTCGATCCCAGGACTCCAGGATCATGACCTGAGCCGAAGGCAGTCGCTTAACCGACTGAGCCACCCAGCCGCCCCTCTGGTGGATTTAAAGAGATGCAAAAAAGTACCCCAAAGTCTGCTGCAACAGGAGGAATGCTCAAAGGCTCTGGTGGGTTCAGGGCTAGCCAGCTGGAAAAGACCAGAATGGGAAATGAAGAGCATTTCTGCCATGGCTGGTCCTTCTATGACTCTATAGACCCCTGCAAACACTAGGTCTCAGATGCCCTTCTTGATGCAGCCACAATGAGGGACGGTGGCTGGCCTGGGGCACTGGCCTGACAGGAACAGGCGTAGGACTGAGAGTAGGGCACTGAGCTACAAGCCCACGACCAGGCTGCTGGAGTACAGTTCCCACCAACCCCCTTTCACTTTTAGTCGGGGCACTAAGCGGACAAACCGGAATAAGGCAAGGACTTTGTACACTCTTAGGTGTCATTAAGAGGAAGAATGCTTTGTCTCCACGTATCACAAGCAAGTGGACTAGCTGAAACACCTGCCCTGAGACCTACATGTGCTCAAACTCAACAATTCTGGGAAGGCAACAGCCATGGAGAGATCTGGGGTGGGCAAGCGATTGTAAATAAAACAACAAGGCAAGAAAGAGGGAGTTTGCAAATTAGTAGACAGTTGGAAAATTAAAATCTGTGCTCAGGGTTTAGAAATAGTGTTAAAAATAAGTAAAGAAGATCTCACATATGAGTGTTTTACTACCAAAATGGGATACTTGGTCCAAGAACTAGAAATGTGTTGCCCAGACTACATGCAAATCAAGAGATTTTATAGACCTCCTTGCAACCTAATTCTTCAGCTCTAGGAACAAAATCAACTTACTGTAAGCTGAGAAAAAAAAAAAAAAAAGAGAGATAACCTATCCACTTTTAAGGGGAAAAAACAATTTTTGTAGTTAAGATAATTATTATTCTAAAGTGTAACTTCAAACCAGCTGACATAAAAATTCACCTAAGCAGATAAACTCCTGTAAGCACTTAGTCCAAAGCTTCTCAAACTTTCCCATCAAAGCATCCCTACCAGCAAAGGAATAAAGTATACTCTAAGGACTGGGGTTACAGCTTGGCTTAAAAATTCATGCACTAGGAACATGATGACTGGACAAGAAAAAAAATTCATGCACTATATGATTTTGTTTCTTTTCATATAGGAATATTTCTCATTACTTAAACATTTCTTCTAAATTGTTGAGCCAAAGTGCCAAAGCCCTCTTGTGTTCCTCCTTTGGCTCGCAAAACCTGACCCACTGTGGTGTTGGCCTTCCTCTAGCACATTATGGAAGGATTAGCGTCTGCCTAACTTCTTGGATGATCTTGCCATTTTTCAGCTCCAGAGAACTCACTGGGGTACTTGGACAGATCGTTATCCTCACTGGTTACTGCCACTCAGGATCCTACTGCTTTCATTAACTCGGGCCACGCTAGTGGACTGATGTGAATAAAGTGGCAGTGAGTGAGGAGCTAAGGAGTTTTTGTACATACATACATAGGCCATCTTATTTTTTTGACCAACTTATATATGATAACTTTCTATGGGCAAGAATATCTACATTCTAACAAAAAATTGTGATTTCAGGGAATAATTCCAAAGGTGAATTCCAAAGGCAAAAAACTTTGGTTAGAACAGGCCAGTCCCATTTTATTCAGGTGTGGGCATAGTGCTTTGCCCTCTACGCCTCTCTAGAACATATTGTAGCTCTAGTATTTTTAGGAACGCACAACCCCTAGAGGGACTACAACATTCCACCCAGTTTTCTCATACTCCTGCCCTGGACTGTTCCTCTCATGACAAACTTGCTTCTCCTAAAAGAACTACTCTCCTGTATCTGGAATTTATCAGAATTCATTAATATGAGTTTATAAATAATTCCAAGGTTTTGTTTTTTTTTTTAATATCACAGACCTGAATAATGTTAAAATGATTTTGCTACTTTGTCCATTCTGTAAGATCAAAATTGTATGTATTGATTTTATATCTGATAAAGAATACTTATAACAGAATTCAGTTAGGAGGGTATTTCTTTACAAGGATCTTGATGTGCTTGGCTTACCTGAACCAGTGTTTGTCCTTCAGCTCTTGAATTCCTCACCAAATGGTTATTGGTTGATCCTATGAATGAATGCTGCGGTCTATTTTCTGCTTTAGTCAAATTCTGGCTGTTGTGGAAACTCCCTGCTTCCTGGTATCCACTGTCAGAATAAGAATTCATTTGTGTTGAACTTCTTGAGTTACCCAATGATCCTGCAGGAATGAAACCAGCAGGAAATATCTTTATTTTACACTTCTGATACTCATTTTCAAATAGCACACATTAAAAGCAAATCTGATACTTAAAAGATAATACAACAGACCCTCACTTTCATGGAGAGATGTCTGTTCTGGTGAATAGAGAGTCCCCTGTTCTGGCTCTGTCCTGATGAGATAGTTGTTGGGGTGGACAGCGTCAGAAACTCTAGGTTTGTTTACACCAGTATTTGGCACATCTGTAAGAAGATAAGTTTAATCAGCTAAATCTAATGACAGTATTACATAAAAACTTGCTACAAAGGTTCAGATATTTGTGACATCTTATAATCTATATGTAATACAATACCATTCTCATTGTAAACTGCACATTTAGACTCTTTTCTATATGAAAGTGTTCCATATACTCATTTTATTAATATATTTTTCTAAATTTTATGACAATTTTTCATCCTGATTACCACCCTAAGTTAACTTATATATTACATGAAATTAAAATCTGAAAATTGACCTTGTTACCCCTTGGAAAACTCACCTCTCAGCTGACTTCCTCCAAGAGGAAGACTCTGGGTAAGAGTGGTGGCCAAGTGTTTAATAAAAAGATCCTCCAGACCTCCAAACGTTTGAAATAAAAAACTTGCGTGGTGTTTATATTATTGAGCTTAGTAATGAAACCTCTGAAGGTAGAGCTAGGTTTTTATGTTTTATTTCATGTTATCTAAAATCAACGGAACTCTGTACAGTGTTTTCAGAGTTACAAATGATGGAAATTTTAATTTTTTATCCATTTGCTTACCTTACTCTCTTAGTCCTTTTCTGTATCCATACAGACAAATCTAAACATGATCCTTGCTTCCTCATGCCAAATCTGTCTCTCCCAATTATCTTCTTTTACTTTCAACTGTATCATTTTGCCATCTTGATCTTAGAAACAAAACTATTTATCCCCTTCCCTATCTCCTACGTCTGTTTTGTATGCTGTAAATTGAGGTGGTGTAAATCACACTGCCTTTGCCCATTTCCATTCAAATGTGACCTCTTTTCTCTATTTCTTCAAAATATATTTGCCCATCTTCTGATTATCTTCAGAAGTCTCTTTCCACAAATTTAACCCTCAGGTTGCTAACAAACATTTTTTTCAGGAATGCTGCTTCACTATCTCTTCAAAGATTTACACTGAGTCTGTAACACATTCTGAGTCCAAGATATAATCCTAAGGATTTCAATGTTTTCATTTGTCTTTCCTTTCTGATTTTCTTCCTTTAACTTTTTATTAGAGCCCTAAGAATGCAGCTATGGGAAAAGATAGGTGTGTGTGTGCGAGACACAGGGAGCGTGTGGTTGGGAAAGGAGCTTAGGAAAAATTTCCTATAGGAAGTAAAGCTTGCCCCTTCTTTACCACACTTAAACTCTCTCACCATTAGAGTGTAAGTTCAGTGAGAGCAGGGACTTTTGTCTGGTCTGTTTACTGTTATTTCCTCAGTGCCTAGATAGGTACATCGTACTCAGTAGGTGACTGGTAAGTATTTGTTGAACAAATTCCCAGTAAGAAGAGCAGCTTCTCTTTATTGAGTGCTGATTCACGCCTGGCACTGTGCTGTGGCTTTATTATGGTCAATAAAGTTTATCTACGTAAAGCAAAGTAAAACTTGTAGGCATTGCTGATCAAGCTAGTTTGAAAAGTGAATACAAGTTTTATAGGAGAGCCGGGAGCCCCCACTGCATTCTAAACCTTTAGCTTGACGCTGAATTCAATCCAAGGTTTTGTTTCCTAGCCTCCAGAAAGATTTGCTGATATTCTTAATATAGGTTTTTAATGACCTGTCTCCTGATTTATTATTTGACAGTACACTTCTAGGTGGTAGAGTTCTGTGACAGTTCTGAATTCTTCAGTTTGGAATTTCAATAAAGATTACAGATTGTATATGGTTTCCCTGGTATACACTGAAACCCGATCTGAGGCTCTGTCAGGCTGATAATCCTGGGGAGTGATCGGCTTCATTTGTAAGTCTTCTGTTAACGAGTTTCTAGGGTTCTACACATTCTTATGCATCACTTCTGGATGGAATTTTATTAAGGACTAAGGAAAATACGTAGTTTGCTAGGCTAGAAGTTTTACACAGAATTGGTGTGCCAGGGAATAGTGACACAAGGGCCGGCCTGACAGCAGGGCTGTGCCCCAGTCCATTGTGGCTTCATCCAAAATGGAGCTCTGACACATCAAATATGAAACGGCAACCATCTGTAGATACGGAAGCACCCCGTGGGAGCTCCAAGACTTCTCATATGTGGAAAATGTACCATTTTTTAAAAGAAAAAGAGGTTTATTTATTTATTTATTTATTTATTTTTTTTATTAAGAAAAAGAGGTTTAGACAGTTCTTAGCTTCAGCTTTAGTACAAGATAAAACGTGGGACACCAATACATCAAAGCTTTTGGCCTGGAAACACTAGGTGGTATGCCGTGTCAGGAGCTGAAAACTTATCACCATGGAAACCAAAACCCATCAGAGTTCCATGTATGCTTTTTTTTTTTTTTTTAAACTATTAGGACCTGGTATTTAAATAGGAAAAGAGAAAGTGGCACCCTAAAAATCTGTACCTCAGCAATTCTGTCTCCTCATTCAGTAGAATATTTTTTTTACAAATCATGTGACAAACAATTGTGCTCATTTAAACTCTCCTTTGAAAGAAGCTGTTTAAAATAAATAATCTTAAACAGAGCAAGCACAAATTGTGAGATACAGGATTCCATACTGGTCACCTTAATTAAAAGAATTAGTATCTCAAAAAAATACAAAAACAAACGAAATAAACAAAATTACCCTGAAAGTAATACAACCAAGGACCCTCTCTAAATATTAGCACCTGTTTCTTATACTTTTAAAGATTTATTTATTTGAGAGACAGAGCGAGAGAGAGAGGAGCAGAGGGAGAGAGAGAATCTCAAGCAGACTCCCTGCTGGATGCACAGTCCTATGGTGGGGCTCGATCCCACAACTCTGAGATCATGACCTGAGCCACAATCAAGAGTTGGATGCTTAACTGAGACACCCAGGCACCCATTTCTTATACTTTTAAATGCAACACCTCAAAAAAATAGAATGTGGAAAAGTATTTGAAGATTTAAATAATTGAGTTATTTAGAGAACAGGGTCTAAATTTCATTTTTTTAAAAGATTTTTTAATTTTTAAGTAATCTCTACACCCAACATGGGGCTCAAGCCTACCACCTCAAGATCACTCCACTGACCAAGCCACCCAGGTGCCCCTATTTTTTAGCTTTAAGTAAATACTGAAGTTAAAGTTTTAAAAAGTTGATAAATACATGTATTTACCATATTATAACTATTATGATAATATATTATCCTATTAGTGAGCTATAAAGCAATCAATTCTAAACTATCAAGTAGATCTTCATTTTTCTACTTCTATAATGAGCTTCATTATAGATGAATGTAATGCATATCTGCAAAGACAGAAAGATACTGATATTTCTTCTCAATCATTAAGACAAAGTTAAATTATTTTCACACTGTTTTACTATTATTTACTGCTTACTTGAAAACCTGTAATTCCTAAATCACACACACGTAAATGTATATACACATAGTCACTATTCCTGTAGTAAGAAGACCCAGTTTGCAATTACTATAGAAGGTATTCTTATTGTAGTAGGGTAAGGCTCAAAATTATTAACTATGTAGTCTTACTTTAAAATGAATGTCTTTTAAAAACATGTGCTATGAGGAATGAAAGAAGACACTAGTCAAATTTACCAGAGAAACCACAGAGTCTTACAGGATGGGATCGTTTCATGATCACTGCTATAAACTAGAGTTAAATAGTTGACATGTTGTGAGTTAGTGCAATGAGAACATAAAATTGAGAGACGTTTTGATGAGCAAAAATGGCAAACAGAATGTCAATGCTACTTCTTTCATCTGTGTACTGAAGAACATGTGTTATTTTTTCACAAACATGTTTTGTGGAACATCAGAAATATTTTATGGGGCATTTTCAAACATCAAATTAGCATCTTCTATGAAAATGCATGTCTAAGAATATGGAACTTGAACAAGCTTCAAGGTAGAATGAAATAATCTCCATTTGTGTTTATGAATGGGAGATTATTGGAAACATGGTCCATCCTGCCTGTTACATTTCATCTGAGTGCCCCAGTATTACCTAAACAAGGGCAATTAATTAGAAAAAGTAGAAGGCTGCAGCTAAGAAAATACTAGTGGGTAAGGGACAGTAATGCTGTGTAGGGCTACGTAAATCTCATGTATTATCCACCATTAAGCTCACAGTGAAAGACATAATACAAAGTGTATTATGATTTATCTCCCAAATACACACCAAGTGTGCATAAAAATATGCTCAGGAAAAGGCTAAGGTCTCTCTAAAGAACTTGAAATTACTGAAATTCCTCTGTTTTGTTAATCTATGTGTCTTACTGTTTTTGGTATACGAAACGGAGGTCTGTACAATGTGTAAAATCACCATGGCAACAGGAACCTAGAGATCAGTAAGGAGATTTTTAGTATATACAACTCTGTAACTAGTCTTTCACAGTCCAGCATATTATAACTTTTTGCTAGATTCTCCTTGTTTGTGCCTGTTCTGAGTTGCTATGGTGTTTAAAGGTTTGCCCTTACATAAAAGATAGTGTAATGTGAGTTTTGGCAGGACTCCTGGGATGGTAATAGAATGCAGTGTTAAGGCAGATGATGTGGTCTTTGACAATTAAGGAAATGGAGTAGCTCACTTTTCTTCCAACTTTGGCCTGTGAGGTGAGGTTAGGCTTTCATACTCTTCATGAAAATACGAGTAGAAAATTTTGTCTTATGGGGACTCAACTTCCTATTTGGCTATGGTACTCTGGCTTCCTATAAGGCGACAGGTTCAGGAAGGAGTCCACATTCCACAGAGCTACAGCAATATTCCAGTGTCTTCTATGGCTAAGAAGTAAAGCTCTAGGCCAAATTCTGGAAGAGGACACGGATGATGGCCTTGAAAGGACTTCTCCTCTTCAGTAACTTCTTTGATGTACACGATTCACTTCTACAGCAGGTAACCTTATTATCAGAGGAAATGAGATCATCGGGAAATATTGTTGCTGAGTGGAAATGTGAATAGGGTGATGGAAACATGAATCATAAAAACATTCTTTGATGCACAGACACAGATAGACATTGACTGATATCTTAAGATTATAGATACCTGGACTTTGTTG